CCCCCCCCAACGCGGCACCATTGCACCAACCCCCCACTAGTGATGACGTACCATTACAATATATCGCTGGTTGGTGGCCATGTGTGCGGGTTTGCTTGTTCGTTAGTGGTCTCTGCACCGCGGCCTTTTGCTATCTCTTTTTTCTTTATTTTTCTGTGTCAGATGGCTTTGTCTCTATTTGCGTTGTGAAGTCTAAGATTGAACCAAGGGGGTGCACCTATTTCTCTCTGGCCCGTGATGCTGACTCCTAGTCTCGGTTGTTTCCTCGCATAGCACGCAGAGGGAGCGGAGGACTCCGGAATATCTGTCGCGTATTTCTATGACTTGCGGACCCCTCGGGGCCAGTTTATCTGTATTTGGGTGTACCCTTTTTGGGTGAGTTAGCCTGTGACGACGGGAATCGACCGCGTCAACTGATGGATCAGTATGGGCATATGAAGGTACTGGGTAGAGAGAGATCGGAACGGTAGTTAATGTGAAGACAACAACAACATACCGATAGATGGCGATATTTCCTGAAAATTTTGTTGTGTCCTCGAAGTGAACTACGGCTAGAGAATAGTGACGGGAAGGGAAAAAATGTCACTTTTGGTATTTGCATGGTGTTTTAACTTGGTCGAGGAGGCAAAGTGCGAATTTCGTTAATTTGTGTAATGTGGGGCGATTTTTTAGTCCCTGGCCTCTGTCTCGAAGCTAGCGAGCCCTTGGGCAGGGCGCAAGTAGATGCGACGTCTCGCTGCATGACGCTTTAACGAAAGACCTCCGCACTAGCGTGCTGTGTCTTCTCCACCGTTCGTTGGGGAGATGATGTTGTTTCGTTCTTGTTTTTGTACTTTTGCCCGCGCTGTGACGTGGGCCGGAGCATAACAACCGACGGGAGGTGACACGTGCAAAGCTTGTACTGGTGTGTACCCACATGCCACCCACCTCCCCCACACTCTCACCTCGTGTTAACTGCATGCTATCTTCCCGGGCGCACACGCTAACGCGTCATCTGGCTGTCTTTCCCTGTCTTCACGGTCTCGACGACTGTTGTCTTAGGTGGGCTACACGGGCATCGCCTGCCGTTGCGACTACGTGTTCTGCTCCCTCCACCGCTACCCGGATCAGCACGACTGCACGTTCGACTTCAAGACCTCTGACAGAAACGACCTCAAGAGGACAGTGGTGGGCGGGGGGAAGTTCAGTAAGGTCGACCGCCTCTGACACGGCGGGTCTCCGACGATCGATGTCGTACGACTGGCTGGCTTGACCCTGCCCGCGCTTTGGTCGGGTCGCTTTTGTCTCTCCTCCCGTCGGTGATTTCCGTTTTATCCTTGTGAGGCTGTGCAGTTGGAAAGTAGAGGGCGGTTGAAACGAGGGCGCTCGGAAATGGCCACGGGGGAGAAAAGCGGTGACGTTGGGCTGAGCATTCACCATTCGCGGACCGAGGGGGGGGGGGGGGGGGGGGGGGGGGGGGGGGGGGGGGGGGGGGGGGGGGGGGGGGGGGGGGGGGGGGGGGGGGGGGGGGGGGGGGGGGGGGGGGGGGGGGGGGGGGGGGGGGGGGGGGGGGGGGGGGGGGGGGGGGGGGGGGGGGGGGGGGGGGGGGGGGGGGGGGGGGGGGGGGGGGGGGGGGGGGGGGGGGGGGGGGGGGGGGGGGGGGGGGGGGGGGGGGGGGGGGGGGGGGGGGGGGGGGGGGGGGGGGGGGGGGGGGGGGGGGGGGGGGGGGGGGGGGGGGGGGGGGGGGGGGGGGGGGGGGGGGGGGGGGGGGGGGGGGGGGGGGGGGGGGGGGGGGGGGGGGGGGGGGGGGGGGGGGGGGGGGGGGGGGGGGGGGGGGGGGGGGGGGGGGGGGGGGGGGGGGGGGGGGGGGGGGGGGGGGGGGGGGGGGAGGGGGGGGCTGGTGTTGCTATGATGAAGGTGGACTTATCTTAAAAACACAGGCTTGGACTGCCTGTTTTCTTACCTGAGGATGACAGTTCTGTACGTGCCGGGCGCTTGATGCGCGTGCCCCGGTGAGCTCCGCGAGGGGAGAGGGGAGGGTGGGGCCGGGGGGGGGGTTTGCTTGGTTTGTGTATTTCGAGGTCTGGGTTTTCGGCAGGTCCTAGGCCGATTGTGTGGACAAATTCCGATAAAGGTGGCGGCGCATTCCGGAAAAGGCGGTCGTTGTGCGAAACTCGTTTCCGTTCTCGGACAAGCCAAGTATGATGCCCCTTCCGTCACCATTTTTCGTGCAGAACTCAAGAGAAGAAGTCGGGAACGAGTTGGTTTGGTTAATCTAACGAGTCTCTCCCCGGTGTACGTGGCCGGTTGGGCGTTGTTGGAGTGTCGTGTTTTTCTTCTCGTTTTGCGACGGCGGAAATTGGCTGGGGACAAGAACGCAAACACCTACTCGCTACTACTGCTCTGCTGTGTGGCATGAAACAGGCGCACGTGGCATCTTTTCTGTGGGCGCGCGCACTTTGTTCACCGTCCGCCGGTGATAAGTGGCTTTGTCAGCAGCTTGACGGTCAGTAAGAGGTTCCATGTCTTGTATGGGTTTCCTTGTGGCGTGGGGGCTTGTTTATGGCTTCGGCCAGAGGGGATCTCCACCAACTCAGCGGAAGAGGTTGCCGTGGGTGTACATAGTGTCTCGTAGTTTTTACGTCGGGTGGTTGGGACGGGGGGGGGGGGNNNGTGCTTGACAGTCTTTCACTACTTTTTCCCGTTGCATTTCCCCCGGGGGATGACAGCTCCTGCTGCGGAAGGTTTGGTCTATTGCCCCCAGGTCGAGTGTGTTGTGTTATTGTCCCATCCATCAATATAATGCCAGTGGGTGTTGTATGGTTTTCTGAGCAGAGTGTTCGTTATGTGCATTTTTTTTTTTTTTTCTACATCACATGTTTTGAAAAACGAAAAGTTTGATCGCCCGCCTGTCCAGTGGGCGGCTGAGCTTCGACATGCATTAAATATCACCACTCCTGATGCTGCTGCTTCGATGTGTTCAAAGGATGGCTTCTTTTTTCGCATCCCACTTGGGCTGCGAAGAAGCCGTTTCGGTGGCGTCGAGTTTGGCCAACAAAGAACACCCTTACGTGGCCTTGAAAAACTGCCATCATTACAAGTAAAGCATTGCCTTAGCTACAGAATGGCCGCTGTTGCTCAAATGAGCACCTTCTGCGCCAACCTGAATTTTGTTTCGATCTCTCTACTTCCACGAAAAAAAATCGGCTGGTCATGTCTGGGATACTCGCCAATTCACGTCAGCAGTGGTAGTTGTGTCTGGGAACACGCAGGAACTTCAAACGGACTGCGTCGAGGGGACGAACGAAAGAAGACAACACGGAGAGAAAAGTGTCCGTTTTTTTCCTCACTCTCAGCTCAGCTGATGTTACAGCTGTAACATAACATCTCACGAAACGGGCTGTTGTGGGGGAGGCTGTCTGCAGCACTTGGTACCGAAACAAGATGGAGCACTTCTCACGGAGTAGAACATGTGTGTTTGTTCTGACGTTTCGTCGAATAACGTACAGCGCATCTATCTGCGGCCTCAGACTAGCTCATCACGCGTACACTAGCTTTTCTTTGTCTAGCGCACGGGGGCACCGAGAAGAGAAACAGACGACGACGGCGATTTCGATGTCTTCTCTCTCTCTTTTTGTTATCCCATACAATAAAGCAATCCGACGAGTATCGTCGGCGTTGCTAGTCCCAAGCTCGAATCTGTTGCTCATTTAGGTGCGACGCGGATGGCGCGTGTACGAGCGATCGAAAGAAAGAGAGGAGACGGAGTGATACCACCGTCGTAGGGCGGATGTGACAAGAAGTTTGTCGAGAGCGAACCCTCTTTATTTTCCACATGTTATAAACATTTTTTGTACAGGACCGGCCTGCGGAAAAACCCACGCGAGAAAGGGACGCAAGAGACAAAGTAAAAGCACGCAAAATATGGACAACATAGGCTAAAGAGGTACGGAAGACCAGGCGAAACCGCACGCAAAAAAGCCTCAAAGGCAAAAAGTACGGAGAGACAGACACGTTGAGGTGCTGATGAAGCCACTATACACAAGTAGGCAACCGCTACTCCTGTGCTATCCCATGCGGCCTGAGGGGCTGGTGGGCTCACTCTGTACAACTCGGCAGGCGTTTCTTGGAACGTTACTTCTAGTGGCAGCAGAAGATGGCGCGTAAGGTGGAGGCGTGGCTACGCAGATGGCAGATCTGAGATACACCAGCATGTGAACAGAAGAAACGTGCCATCCACTATCGTACGCGTCCGAAGAGGTGACGATGCCCCCTTGTAAACAGTCATACTTGTGCCACCGGCCACTTGAGAGACGAAGTGGTTCCTGTTCGTTCCACCTCCAAGCGGAAGAAAATACGAAACTCCGACTAGAGAATAGGCGGCTCCCATGGTGAAGGTCATGGACGGAGCCATGGGGCGCCCGTCGAGACCTCGAAAGACGCACGAAGACCGAAAGAAGATCCTGTCCGGCGCGGTATTGGATGTCCACGGAAGTAGAGTCCAATCGCACATGTTTCGGTGAACGTTGTCCGCACAGTATGGGCACAAGGACTGGCCTGGGATGGCCAAGTCGGTAGGGGCCGAGGAGCGGAAGAAGTCGAACACGTTGTCTTGGAAAGTGGCTGAAACTCCGTTGGGGATGGTGATGACGGTGGCGGCCCGTAGCCTGGCGGACTGATCCGGGGTGACCTCGCGCGCACTGTGGTTGCCGATGGTGCAGTTGTTCGCGTACCTCCAATCTAGGCCGAAGTCTCTGCGTGTCCGCGCTACACGAGCTTGCTGGTCGAAGACACTGTCCGGCCATAAAGGAGAACCCTGTCGTGGGCAAGCACGCGCGATCGCCTCAAATACGCCGGCGACATTACCCATGTCACAGCCGGCGCCGGTGATTGGCGTACCGTGGAGGATGTCATGACGGGCCTGTCGAGCGGCAGACTGGCGAAGAATTGACGGCGGGAAGAAAGAGGCGTTGGGTTGTAGATTATTATGCAGACAAACGGGGGGGGGGCAAGGCGAGGGTAGCGCGAGGCAATCGCGAGACAAACCGGAAAGAAATATACTTTGTATGAACTTACGACGATGTGGTCGGGCAAGGCGGATCCGTCGAACATGGAGTCCCTCAAGAGCTGCAACGCCGAAAAAAATGATCCTGCTGCAGGAGTACCAGCGGACGAAGGAGGTAGTTGCTGACCGTCCCACGCAGCCAGTCCCAAAGCCAAGGCCGAGTTGAAGAAGCAGTTGTTGTTGCTGTTAGCGATAAGATGCGCTACTCTCCTTGTTGCACCAGGCCCGTGACGGCCTGTAGTTCTCCGTCGTTGGGTTCTTGACGGGGTTGGCCCTTCGTCGGTGGCAGCATCGAGGGATGCTGAGGCTGGCGTAAACCTGGAAGCGTCCTGGAGGAAAACCTTGAGAGTTTCCTTGTCTAGCCGGTGCAGGTAGTTGATGATGGCCAGTATGTCTCTGTCTGGTGGCTGGTTGAGGTCCTCCAAAGTGACAGGAAATAGCAGGTTGAGGGCGTCAAGACTTGTCGCGCGAGACAAAGCAACATAGACGGCTGCAGGGTCCATGCCCGTCCCCGGAGGAGGACGAATGTCGAGGATTATCTTTGGCATTGTTTGTCCCTGGCTACGGAAGACAGATGATACGCATCCCGCCGTTAACGGAAGTTGCCGCCTTTTGAAGATGAATTTCCTCTTG